ACACACATTGGCAAATACTTGAAATTGCTTTTTTACAATAAACTCATATTCTTTTTCAAACATTCTGTATGGTGTCTTGTGAAATCAAGCAATGCTTTAAATAAATATACTGCCATTTCACAGTTTTCAGTAATCAGTTACTTCTTGCAATAACTCAAATGGCTTACAAAAGCACACACATTTTCAATTCCCAACCAACACATCTCTAATGTCACCTCAAGCTTTTCACTTTTCCTGTCTGTCTGTCTGTCTCTCTCTCTCTCAGTAAATACAATAAATATCCAAGTGGAAATCACATGTGCCTGTCTTATTGCTTGCTAACCATTGAGGCATTTGTTAAGCATTTCATTTATTCTCATGCATGCTATGACTTCTATTTCTATATTAACAAAATATGAATGTCACTTTGCAAAAACACACTTTTCCAAGGCATTTACAACATTCCAAAATCAGATAAGCAAAAATGTTGAATAATTAATATTCAAAATAATGAACAATATTTAAAGTATATAATATAAATAATAACAGAATAAAAGCAGTAAAGTATTTAAAATTTTCTAAGCAGCATATGGTTTAAAAATCACATTAAGTGATTAAAGGCCTATAAAAATAAAATTGTCTCAGTGTGATGATGGAAAGATAATAAGATTGGTGCCAGGTATAGTTGATTGACAATGGTATTTGAGAATCAGGTGGACTACCATTGAAAAAGCCAACTCTTTTTAAATTTTTATTTAGTTAGTTTATACATGAATAATTAACAAAACAATCTTTATTCTTAACAAATGATTAAAGAAAAATATATTTTTTAAAAAAAATAAAAGTACAACCTAAAAATGCAAATGTGGGACGCGGTAGCACAGGACTTAATGATGCTGGAGCTTGCTGGCCAGAAATGGTTGGCACTCCAGTGGTTCAAGCCTGCTCTGGATGACGGGGTGAGCTCCAATCGCTCATCCCAGCTTCTGCCAACCTAGCAGTTCGAAAGCAATTCCATCTGCAAGTAGATAAATAGGTACTCCCATTTCGGTGGGAGGAACCGGCGGCACTTGCACAGGAAAGCTGGAACTGGTGCTGGACCCGATTGGCGGAAAGAACAAACGCTGGACACTGGACGCAACTAACGCAATGGGTGAAAAGATCATCAGTGGAAGAAAGCCCGGATGAGCTGACTCCCTTGCGACCACTGCTGGCCACAATAGAATAGGGTTGCACTGTAGTTGTATTAGAATAGAGGTAATTGTAATTGTAATGGTTAAAGTGTACTTTGTGAACTGCCTAGAGTTGCCCACTGGGGAGATGGGTGGAGATAAATCCAAAATGTAAATGTAAATGTAAACTAAGAAGGAAAAGAAAAAAAATTCTACCTTATATTTTATACTTATCAATAATCACTAGTTTACTAATAAATTCACTGCTATAATATGAGCAATACAAGATATTATTGAAAGATATCACAACATCTCTGCCATAGTAACACACATTGTTGCATCATTTGACTAATAGAAAATATTGCCTTTTCCAAAACAGAATCACACATTTCCAACATTTGGAATAATATCACTTTTCCAGTCTTAATATAATTCTTTTAGCCACCCACCCCATGCATGATATAGCCATAATTCCTGATAAATAGTCAGATCCCAAAACTTTGATATAAAACTCAGTATTACATTAACATCTTTAACATTTAAAGATTTTCCCATAAATCTACTTATATATATTAATTCATTATTCCAAAAAGGTACTGGAAAAGCCCACTCTTAAGTAGGCACCTCCCATATCAGGTTCTACATGAAAAGATTGAGACTGATCTGCAGGTGGATTTAAAAATGACAGGCTACAAGAATGATATGGAAAAAAATGTTACACTGGACATAGCAAAGAAACTGGCTGATGTCTTAATAATTAAAAGGGGTATACAAATAACAAACCAAGAAAGTGATCTGGATAATTTTCCTATATTGGATTTGCAAAAGAGGCTTGTTAAAGCTTTGAAGAATTATGTGAGAAGGGACAAAGAAGAAAATGAAAAGAAATCAAGTTCTAGGGCATTATTTGAAGGAACTAAAGTTCAAGATTGCTAAAAGTAAAAGGAAGGAATATAATGTAGGATTATTTGATCATGGTTAAAATAGATATGTTGTTATCTCTGGTAGCCCTAGATGGGAAGAAGATGGGATCATTTGTTGTATTTTAAGACAAGGTGATAAGTTACTAAAATTGTTTATACTTGTTTTGATGAAGGGGGAAGTCATTTCTTTATATATTTCTTTTCTTTTTTCTTTACTATATTTTTCTTTTTTCTTTCTTTTCTATTTTTCTTTATTTTTTTTCTTTTTTGCACCTTCTATTTTTTTATTCTTTTAGTTTGCACTAGTTTTTGTTGTTGCAATTGTAATTTTTAATAAAAAAATCACTATAAAAAAGCTAAGTTATTGCAGAAGTGTGACGTGCTGATAGATGATGATGATGATGATGATGATGATGATGATGATGATGATGATGATAAGCCGCCCAACTCCCAGCAACTCTGGGCCGTTTACAATTGTTAAAAGCATTTAACAGCAAAAAACAATACAAAAAAGACAAAAACAGTCCCAGAAAAAAGAACAATGATGGCAAAGACAACAAACCCAGAGGGGAACAAAAAGGAAGAAAGGGGCATCAATTGTCCTTCCCACAACATAGTGCTCCCAGCATCTTATCTCACAAAAACTTATTTTAGCTCTCCTAACAATAATACAGGCAGCCAGTTAATAAAGCTGAGAGCATTTACTGCAGGTGGATGGAAGGTTAAGAACAATACAGTAATGAGAAGGAGGGTTCTTATTATTTAAATACTCACAAAGGTCCTCACAAGAGGTAGCTATCATGGACTATGATTAAAGCCAGAGCCTGGAGTAATGGAAGATGATACAGAAGGAGGAAGCCAAGCCAAGATTACAGGTTTTTTTCCTTCCAACAAGACACTTACCTAGCTCTCCTTTAGACAATGGCTCAGTTGTCTCAGTTGAAGACCCTACTGTTCTGTCTTCCCATGACTGGTCATTAGGGCCCAACTGTATGTTCACAACAGAGCCAGCCAAAACAGGAGTAAATTTAACCAAGGAACTTGCCTTCATGGAGGTTCTTATATACTGACATCAAATAAATCTCCCATAGAGGAGAACCAGACTAATCTGGGAGGTATGGGGACTGAGGATATAAATGATCCTCTGATTTCATGCCTAACAATTGGAAATTACCACTCTAATGAATCATTAATATTAGGTTTGCTAACATTAATGAATATATTTAGCAAACAACAACAGGATTTAAATAACCTTGTCTCCACTTGGGCATAGGAAATCTCTCAGCAGAGTATAAAGATTTACTACAAACATTGATAGAACTGATGCACAAGACATTAAATGGGAAAGATTATAAATTGCAAGACACTCCAGTGGAACACACACCAGCCACAGTAACCCACATACCATACCCTGAAGGAAAAGATATAGAATTAATAACTGGGAAACAGAAAAGAAAACTCCCTAAAGAAGGCATTAAACTAAGAAAGTTGGCTAATAGAAAGGGAATACAAGTTAAGAAATGCAGAAGAATAAAAAAAATAAAATAAAATAAAAAATGTGGAGTTTTATAGATCAACAAGGAAATTCAAGCCAAACAATCTGCTTCATATCATGGAAACTGAATGCAAAAAGGGAAAATGACCAGAAAAGTCTTTGAATAATTTAGCAAGAAAACAATGTGAGGACAGGGAGACCAAAGATAAGCAGACGTAACAAAACAATTACCCTAAACCTAGATGTTTGCAAATTCAATTTGATTTAAAATAGTATGTTGTTCATCTGATGCAATACTTAGATGTAATTGTTTATGTGCCACCAAGTTGTTTTCAACTCTTAGCAACCTGACCTCTCAACAAAAGATATAGACAGAGTTTCGTATCTATTTTATAACCACATCAGTGCCAGATCAAAGAGGACTTTTGAATCTACAGTTACAATTAGTTTGGTGATTTAGAGAAAGAGTTTGTTAAATAAATTCTCTGTAGGAGTATTATGTTTCTTCCAAAACTACATGCTCTGTGAAGTTTATAAAGATAACCTGAGCCAATTAACACTGGAAAATTGAAAATTGAGGGATTGAAGTTCCATATATATCACAAGTGGAGGATATATCCACTAGAAATAGATATGTTGTTATCTCTGGTAGCCCTAGATGGGAAGAAGATGGGATCATTTGTTGTATTTTAAGACAAGGTGATAAGTTACTAAAATTGTTTATACTTGTTTTGATGAAGGGGGAAGTCATTTCTTTATATATTTCTTTTCTCTTTTCTTTACTATATTTTTACTATTTCTTTTACTATACCACTTTACTACTTTTCTTTACTATACCACTAAGGATTGATTATGAATAGAAAGAAGGGAGCTAGGGAAAATCCTAACTGCGGAAGTAAACTTTCCAATAATATGTGTGGCTCAGAAGAAACAGCTCCACCAAAACAACATTCAGTAAAGACTCTTAACAATCATGAAGGGAGTTATATAAATGGACATAATCTGGAACAGACAGTGATTCATGTAATGTCATGAGATCTATTGCTAGTTGAGATGGATAAGACAGCAAAGATAAATAGCACAGGAGTTCATAAAACTACAGCAGATGTATACACAACAAAGCAAATAGACCTAAAATTGAACGCTGGATCCCTCAAGGAGGCCCAGGATGGAGCATATATTCACACCAAATATCTCTAGGGTTAAAAACCACTGTGTTCACAAAGACATTCAAGGAATTTTAAATTTAATAGAACAAGTGAAATGGTCAGAGGATGATTCAAATACATCAAAAGAAGAAAAGTCTAGAGGCTAGCACATATGCCATACTTCAACACAGCAACAACTTTTTAGGGGAAGTAGACAAAACAGTCCTCAGAATCCAAATTCAAAATGAAGTTAATCAACAGAGTTGACACAAAACAAATATAGATACATCCACAATTAAATGTGTATCCTAGAATATTGCTGGTTGGGCAGATAAATGTGTAGATGAGGACTCTTTTCATTTTCTACAAAATTATGATATGATTTTTCTCCAAGAAACTTGGTTGATAGGAAAGAATGTGACAGCATTAACTGGCTATATGTGCTTCTATAAAAAGCAAATGAGCTTAACTGCAATACTGTGATGGACTGGAATGGAGGAAGGGGGGTGAAAACGGCGCTCTCGTCTCCAGAGCTATGCTCTGGAGATAAGCAGAGGAAACTGGTGCATCCCTAAACATTCCAGAAGATAGTGAATAGCTGTGCCTGGGAACTAGTGG